CCAGCCAGCATTGAAGTCCACTCATCTTAAAGTGGCCAAGTTTGGACAACACTGCTGTAAGGGTTTCAATGGGAGAGAAGAGACTGAATCTGAATTCAAGAAAGACAGAACCGCTGTTGGCACACCAAGATCCTCTGTCAACAGCAGAATTACCTCTGGACGGCCAAGCACCCCCACGACTGAGTGGGTCTGGAATCTGGGGGCCCTTCGGAGCTTATGGCTTCTCCAGATGACTTCATGGCTTCTCTGAATGCTAATTCTTATAGCTCTTCGGCTCTTCAGATTGTCCCTGCTGTTCCCCATCAACATCTAAAATGCTCCTTCCTGCCTTCCCTCACCTCAGTTTCACTCAAATCATCCCTTTTGTTTTGCATTGCATTCTCCCTGCTGACTCCTGGTTTAGCATTCTTCTTCTTACTTCCCGTTAGCACAGCTCCACAAGCTTCCGTGGCATTCAAACGGAATTCATTTTGCTGTGTTCCAAGCAACTTCCACATTCTCTTTCCTTCCATGTGCTGCTTTTGGGAGATTAGTAATCTATTTTTTAGTATTTTTTCATTCAGGACTTGTACTTTCTCTTCTTGCACTGATTCTACTCTCATTTGCAATTCTTTCATTTCTTTTTCCCCAAGTCCATTCTTCTAACAATATCTACTCTCGGCACTACCAAACAATGGTCCTTTCTCCCCTGTATCCTTCACTACTTCCTTCAAACATTCATAGTACATAACTCAATTGTGCTTTTACACTGATTCTTTTCCAGGTATGCATGCAAAGACTTCTGTTTAAACCAGCTGTTTAAAACAAGCAGACTTTTCTCTAAGCAGACCCACACAATTTTCATTCACTCTTGGGTCTCCAAATGGCCCAACCATTCTTTTGTTCCTTCTTGTCTCATTCTCACCCATCCATTAGCATTGCCTAAGAATTGGTGGAATAACTGTGGGCCCTCACATCCCATCAACCAGAAAGCCCATGCAGTGTACTGACACACACAGTATGGGAAACAAAAATAGGGGGTGGAGGCCCTTTTATTTGAAAATACAGGTGGTCCAAAGTTACAACTGCGCTAAAAAGTGACTTATGACCTGCGCCTGAAGTTACGACCGTCACAGCGCCCCTGCGATCACAATCTGGGCACTTGGCAACCAGCTTGCGCTTACAATTGCAGTGTCCTGGGATCACGAGATCACCATTTGCGGCTTTCCCAGCCGGCTTCTGGCAAGCAAAATCAATGGGGAACCACGTGATTCCCTTAACAACCAGGTGATTCAATTCACAACTGCATCTCTTAGGGACCTAAATTCTGGTCCCAATTGTGGTTAAGTGAGGACTACCTGTATGCCTGTGTGTGTAGAAAAAAAAAAAGACAAAATAAAGGTGCTATAGAGCATTCTGGGAGGCCAAAGGGAGCGTGGGGCAAGATATAAATCCTACAAATATATACGTAACCTTTACCTGTTTGCTTCTGATAAGTTAGCAACAAAAATGGTAGAGTGCCCACAGTACGCCCTCAGCTTTCTGAATGTGCCGACCAATGCCAAAAATCTGGGGATCCCTGGGCTAATGCGCAGCAGGTGGGCTACCAGAATCTTTGCTACAGCCCCTCCCTTGTGGAACAGCCTTCACAAAAGGCTCCACTTGTCCCATCCTTTCTGGTTTTCTCAAAGCTGGCCAAAATGGAGTTCTTCCAGAAGGCTTTCAATTAAGACCAAACTATCAAAGGGTTACATGCTATTGGAATACTGTTTTAATTTAATCATAAATGTGTTTTAAGGGTTCACTACTGCATCTATCTATCTATCTATCTATCTATCTATCTATCTATCTATCTATCTATCTATTATTGTGGGTGTTTTTATTTTGGCAAACTGCCAGGAGCCCTAAGATGGCAGCGATTTAAAAATCTAATCAATAAATCACTTGCTGTTGCTTTTCTTACTGTTTACTCTAGAAGCTCCCTCTTTTCATCGCTTTAGTTCGGTATTCCATTTCAGACGAAGGCTGCCACGCTGCCATCTCACATAGTACACCTCTGTAAACAACAATCTAGTCGGACTGTGAGCCCCTCCTTGCCTGAATCCTGTGATCCTGGATTCAGACGCCTGCTCTTCTGCCTCCACAATCCGGAGGGGAAGGCTCACCCCGCAATCGAGACGTGACCTGGGTCACTGCCTAATTAAGGCAGGGAACATGAAGGCACCCTACCATGGCAAGAGAATGATATAAAAGCAGCTCCTGGCAATCGTGGGCTATCTGCCAGCACCAGCCTCACCTCTGTCGTCCACGATGAGTTTGTCCATGCCCCGGGGGCCAAGCGTAGTACGAACCGCTTCGGCAATTACTTGGCAAGCGCTTATGTTACTAATAAGCTGTGGGATCCCCTGAGAAGTATCTGTGCCTTCTTTCAGCAGGATAACAGGTGTGGGCTGCAGATAAAACAAGGGGTCAAAAGTCAGGTTATCGCCAAGGCCAAAAGCTGCAATTTAGCAACAGTGGAATTTCATTGCACGAACAGAAAAAGATTACTAACCAGTTATTTCTGGTATGGTAAAGGCAGAAAGCTGAAGCAGAGAAGCATTACAATGGATAGCAAAAACCACAGCAAAACCTTTAAGGAATGCATCTTTCTAAAATAGCGGTGACGTAAATATGAACGTTTCGAGTTTTGCAGCGCTTTGTAATTATTTTTCAAGATGATACAATGAGGCTAGCTTGATATATTCCATTAATTATTTAATCACTGAAACAATGAACGTTAAATGTTATGACTATGAACAGTTTCTGCACGGGCGATTCGATCCAGCAGGGTTGGCACGCGCT